CACTACAGGAAAAACCATAGCTTTGACTATTCAGACTTTTGTTGGCAAGGTGATGTCTCTGCTTTTTAAGATGCTGTCAAGGTTTGTCATCGCTTTCCTCCCAAGAAGCAGGCGTCTTTTAATTTCGTGGCTGCTGTCTCCCTCTGCAGTGATCATGGAGCCCAGGAAAGTAAAATCTGTCACTGCCTCCATATCTTCCCCTTCTATTTGACAGGAGGTGATGGGACCAGTGGCCATGATCTTAGTTTTTTTTGATGTTCATAGGCCAGGGCAATAGTGGACATGATCCATTTCGAGACTGTCTGAGAGGATGCCGGAGAGCCTTTATGCGGACCATGGAAGCAAACAAACAACTTGGGATAGGTGCGAAAGTCCTTAGTTCTTGATGTGTAAAACAGTAATGCACAATGAACGTCTAATGAATGTAGCATACCCTCAACTGGTGAAGAAGGAGCAGGAAATAACATTGGTAAAGTCAGGGGCTGATTAACATGGAAATTGGATGCTACTTTAGGGAGGAAGGAAATATCCTGATAGAGAATCACTTTATCTGGAAAAATTTGCAAGTAAGACGCGTCAGCTCGAAGGGCAGCTAGTTCACTTGCACTCCTCGCCAAAGTGATTGCAACCAGAAATAAAGTCTTGAAAGATAATAATCGAAGGTCTGACAAAGCCATAGGCTCAAATGGTGGGTGTGTAAGGGCACCCAAGACAACCTGTAAGGACCATTGTGTAAGCAGAGGTCTTGTGGGAGGGAGGATGTTGTGGTATCTATGCACCTCTTCTCTTTACTCCGTCTGCAGTTTCTGTTTTGCAGCCACGGTGAAATAAAGAGACCAATTTTTTCAACTCTTTCTGTCTTTCCAATCTTGTAATATGTTTTACCACCTCTGAAGGACTATGCCATTTTTTGTTTTTTTGCTGGTTTTCTAATATTTTAGGGGTCTAAATGAAAGGCATTACCTAACTCTGATCATTGTTTGGACTCATATGGACCAAATGGCTGTTTTGGGCTTTGCTTGCTCATTTGTTTTTTTCAGTGAATAACAATAGGTAGCAGTTGTTTCATAGCAGGCCAACAACTGTCATTTATGACAGCCTCTGAGGAGGTGCTCAGTTTGAAACATTGGGCTTAATACAACTATTTTTGCATATATTTGTAGGTTTCCTCTTTGGTCAGTGATTAATTCTAAAGCACCACAACATCTCTTATTCACTGTACTGGCCAGATATAATTTTATATTGCACTAATGAGAACATTAATCCATAAAATGCCATTTCACATGTGGCTTTGTGCATGATGATGTTCAAAGCCTGATTTGATCAAATTTTAATTAAACACTGAAAACTAAAATGTTCAGTTTTGATCACACATTTATTTAGTTCTGATCAGCTTTGAATGAAGTATGTCAGCACATAATTTGTGCTCTTATTTATTTTGTTAATTTAAATTAAATTAGTATCAGATGTTAGGATCAAACTAGACTTTATGCAAAATGTATTTCCCTCCAATCAATCTATTTTCCCTCCCACAATGGGTTTTCCTGAGGGATGAATGCTTCACCAGTCAGTCTTGTAAATTATGCCCATGTTTGCCTCTCAGTTAGTGTCCAATCATGTTTGCCTCTCAGTGAGTGACCAATCATATTATCATATTTAATGTGAGATGCAGAGGTGAGAAAAAGCAATTGTACAGTAGTGTCAAACTGCTTCCCTTTATTCCCTCCTGCCCTCCCTGTATGAAAGAGAGGTGCTTCTGCTAATGGCGTATCAGAGCTCCTGGAAGTGTCAGCTCAGAGCATGAAAGGGAGTCCGTCCTGTTGAACTGCAACATATGCCCCAGAATTCAAACTGCAGATAAATGATATAATTTCAGTGGCATCTCTGCACAGACTTAAAAGCTGAGAGCAGTCAAAGTTAGCAGATGATTTATGTTAATTTTTTTCACATAGTATGGACTCTGTTCCATTGAACATTGTGGGATTCACTGTGAGCAGACATGCAGTCCTAAACCCATGCTGAAACAGTATAACTTAGTTAGTGAGGCTTATGTCTGAGTAAATATGCTTAGAGTTACATTGTATGTCACTTGGCATGCTCTCTTGAGCCAACTTCACATCTCATGGGGTAGACTTCTTTCCAGAAAAAGTGGAAAACAAAAAATTCACATCCATCTTGCGAATGCATCGTGAGACATATTTAGAAGCAGGCCCACTTCCCCCACCCTGCCCTACAGTGGACTTCTACAGCTGGGAAGGTAGCTTTCTACCATTTTAAGCCCAAGGTGCCAGAGTTCTGTCCCACCCAAACAATGATGTCAAAGAGAGTGGAATTTTGCCCAATGATCCTTCACTGCTGAGAAATTTGCTTATTCCCATGGCCTGAGTCCTAAGTTGCTGTTGTTATTATTATTATTATTATTATTATTATTATTATTATTATTATTATTATTATTATTATTATTATTATTATTATTATTATTATTATT